AATATATCTAATATTCGGTAATTGTGTAAATGTAGAATCATTTTCACCATAGTCTTGGACATGTATTCGTTTTAAACGTGTGTTCATCAATACCGGAAACAACAGCAGCAGAAAAAAGCCAGGCAAGAAAGACAAGAAGCAAATCTGTGTTTTTTTTATCTCAGCCTAACTCAAGCGCGACACTCAAATGAGTCAAATTCGAAATGTGTGTTTGTGCAAATAAACAGTTCCTTGATTAGTCAATGCTAAGAGAACAAAATAATATAGAGAGATGAAACAAAAGCATTACACTAAGATTATTTGTCGTCTTTAATGCAGCGCAAAAAATGGACTCAAGTGAGCGAGTTTAAGGTTGGTCAATTGGTTTTGCTATGCGAAGACAATGTAGCACCGACATACTGGCAAATAGGGCGAATAAATGAACTTATCAAAAGTAAAGACGGGTTAGTGCGATCTGTTGCTGTTTTGTTGCCAACAGGCAATAACAAACCAAACACGAAACGGAAAATCCGTGTGCGACCGGTACAAAAGTTATGTATATTACCGATTGAGCCAGAGCCAGAGCGTGAGAAAGAGACTTCGTTTGACATCGATGCTAATATGCAATTCAATGCGCTGGTTCTTAGTAACAAAATAAACATTGTTTCAAAACATAAGCACTTAAATCAGTTGACAAACAGTTTCGTTTCTTTGAAACCCGTGAGAGATAAAAAGTCAGCATCAACATTGAAATATGTTGTCTCAAAGGCTGGATAGAGCATGTGCCTTAACATCATTTCCCTTTTTTTGAGCATACGAAATGTGTTGTGCGAAGCAAAATCGAGTTTGTTTGTCCCGTTATCAATAAGAGCATTGTATACAGCAAATGTGTTGATGTCAACAAATTTTACGATTCAAAAAAAAAAACAATCGCCCGTTGTGTGCTCGTTGGTTTGTTTTTCCAAGAAAAAGGGATTTGTAAATCGAAGTGTGCAGGCAAAAACATGCAAACACCAATTTCGAGCACAACGCGCAGCCTTTCGTTTGGTGTGGAGCGATCGTGTTGCGCACGCACACACGAGAAGTATTGATGCGGCGATGTCCATAAGACAAAGCATTTTTACGCGACAAGGAATGCTGTAAGAGCAGCAGCATGAACATTATGTAAGTGTGTGCGGTTGTAGTTGTTCGCGTCCAAAGGAATAGTGCACGGTCCAGTCAGATCGATATTGATTTTTCGTCAGTGCGACATTCTATTGGAGAAAGCCAAACTGTGCAGACGCAATTAAATATAGCTGTGGTTTGAAAGTTGTGATTCAAAAAAGAATAGAATAGTTCTTTTATTTTTTTGTACCTTTTATGCTACAGAGCAAAGTAAGTAATTCTTTCAGTGTATTTTACATCAAAAATCAGTGCCAAGAGAGGAAGTTATAAACGCAGAGCTCGTCAATTCAAATAATTTTCAAACTTCAAAGTGGTGAAATTCAGTCGTGCCGTTATTTTTACGCAGTGAATATCAAATTGTGCTGATTAGTGTTTAAAAAAGAAGAAGTGCTTCCTTTCTTTGTTCTTTTTTTTGTTTCCTTTATTTTGTGTCCAACGATTTAAGTGGAATTGTATTTTTTCAGATGTGCGATAAGTTCATCGATAAAATAACGAAGATGCTTGAGGGCCTAAGCATCAGCGATTCGCGTGTACAAGCCTTGAACGATCTAAACCAGTTGTTTATGGCTTTCACAGAAGAATTGCAGTTAACGGATGACGAGGAGCGTGCCGCTCAACGAGATGGAAATGTTGAGGCTCAGTGCGTTTTCCACAATGCTGGCCTGTCGATAATAGAGCAATTATAAGGTCAACAACAACAATCAGAGCAAAATGAAATGATTACTTATGAACACATTTCACAAAGCGAAAATGAGCAAAAGTTATCGGTGCCAGCAGCAAAGGGAAGCGGCCAAGGGCAAGTCGCTGCCGAGCAACCAACTGCCGGCGCCGTCCAACCAATCCAACAACCGGCGCTTGACCAAATGGATGGAGCTTGGGGTGGCCAAGAGCCGGACCCCCAAAATCAAGCACAAGCAATGGCAATGCGAACGATTCATCAAATTCACCCCTCAACGATGAGACAATGGCGGAGCAAGGTGCATGTAATAAGCCACATCATGTCCGAATTCCGTTTTTGGATTTCGAAGCGCTTTTCCGTTCGCTGTTTGAAGTGCAACAAATGGCACAGGTCGACGAAATGGCATTGAACCGTTTCCTAGTAACTATAATGGAAATGCGCGAGCGAGCTGAGACGCTCAATTTGCCGATTGAGCAAGAGCAACAAATGATAATAGCGATCATTCAGAATCGTTTGGATTTCATTAGTCGGTCACTATGGATGTGGCAGGTTGACCGTCGCGAACCAAATATCGATCAGTTGGTTGATTTCCTGGTCAAACGATGCAATCGCATTGAATCTCATGAGCGACCATCAACATCAGCTCAAGCTCAAGGTGCTGTGCCAAAACGGTTTGTGCCACCTAAACCAACGGTGCAGCGCGCACCATCAACAAGCGGCGCAGGTAGTCCGGCCGCCGAACATTCAGGTGCTTCTAAGGGCAAGAAGCATAAGCCAGTTTGTGTTGAGTGCGGAGGTGAGCACTATCTGCATATGTGCGAACGTTTCAAGCAAATGACTGTTGCGCAAAAAAGAGCATTCTTAAATCACCACCGTATGTGCCATAATTGCTTCTCGCAGACACATACCACAGGCCAATGCAAGCAGGGCGTTTGCAAGCGCTGTGGTACTAAGCACAACAGTTTGCTTTGGCCAGAATCAAAGCGAGAATAAAGGTGAGAATAGAGCTATTCTCACCGGCGAGAGTGTACCGAATCGTACACGCTTCAGTGCTGAATGTGTGCGTGTATGCTCTTTTTCTTATTTTCTCGTTCATCAAAACACACAATTTAAACATCATGTATGTGTATAGAGAGGCATTCATCCAGTGAGGTTGAATGTGAATCGCGCGCGATTGACTTAGTCAGCAATCGAACGCGCATCAGAGCGGTTCACGAGCCTTGAGCGAGAGTTTTTACGCCAGCGCGGCTTTTCTCTCAATAATAAGAAGCAACGCAATAAACGAACAAAGAAAGAAAATCAAGTGTTTCATTCAATAGATTGGTTGTTCAATTTTCAGTTAGTTTTAAGTTTTGTTTCAGCAGTGAGAATATTATTGAAACTAAGAAGGTAAGTGAGCTAGCTCTGAACAGGATTTGAAATAGACGATAAATTATCTAAATCCACTAAAATATCAAATCGAACAGAACCAGGAAAGCCAAATTGCAGCAAAACCAAAACGTAAACAAAAACGAGCTGTCATCATGAAATCTGGGCTTCTTTGACATTTTGAATGGCTTCCAATGCATTTGTGCGAATGAATCACGAATTGACTGTGATGTACACAGTGTTTCGCGCAGATGTATTTTGGTCTTGTCAAACATCAAACTAAGCCCGAATTACATGATGACAGCTCGTTTTTGTTTACGTTTTGGTTTTGCTGCAATTTGGCCTTCCTGGTTTTATTCGATTGAATATTTTAGTGAATTTAGATAATTTATCGCCTTTTTCACACCCATTGAATGAATTTCTGTAAAAAGAATGAGTTTGTCGGTGTTTTTTCTACGATTCAAGAACCGGTAAAAGAGGCAATACAATTTGTGTGAATTTTCGACTATTTGTCCAATTATTCCAATGAAAATTACGTGAAAATTAATGTTTGCATTGAGAATTCATCTCTGGCAGTGAGATTGAATAGAAAAAAGTGGAGAATATCAGATTATTTTCAGCAAATAGTACGCAGAGAAAATTTAGCGGAACAATGATTCCGATTTATCGGTATTAAAACCAATCGGAATGATAAATCGGAATAAATGTTCTGAGATTCCGATTTATCGGTATTCTTCTATGTAAATTACTTATTAAAAATTGTTGGTTGCAAAATTCTCGGAAAAGCGCTACTGTGGAAAATCGGGAAATCGGAGAAAATTTAGACCAGTCTCAATCGATCGGGCGGGAAATTTCATGTGAGGTGGCGACCCTAAAGGCGATTTTCAAGCGAAAAAACCATCTATTTATGTGATAAATGAAAAAATTTGGGCGGCAAGTTTTTTCCATATTTCCATATTATTTTCAAAATCTGAGGGGGGGGGTTATATTTTAAGCGCTCTCAAGGAGGGGGTAGTATTCGAAGATTCGGCCAATATAAAACAATCGATAACACTTTCTGGGTGGGCAGTGGGAACCGATGACCGACCCGAAGGGCGATTTTCAAGCGAAAAGCGAAAAAACCATCCATTTCCCACAGAGGTGGAAAGGGGAGCACTCATTCGTTCCACTGCGGCGCTCTTCTCTCCCGCGCGCTTATTCAGTCCTCCGCGATCTCCTCCCCACCTCTGTGGGCACAACAGTCATTAAAGAGTGATTATGGTCGTCGTTTGATCTTTGCAACACCATTGTGTTGGTACAAAATAATGTTGCATTGTTAAATGAGTACCAATAATTGTGGATATCGGATGATATTCCGAGAAGATTTATTCGATTTGTTCTTCTGTTGATTGTTGTCCACAGTCATTCTCAGCAGCCGATCACTTCTGAGTTTTTTATCTCACTCAATGAAACAACGGACTTGTCGTCACACGCGTAGATGTAGCATTTCACTCTATTTAGCGATTCGTTAGTTGCCGAAACATCGTCTATGCCAGTGCTGTCTGTAATATCTTTCAATAAAACACGACCGCTCAGTTTGGTATCTCTATATGAACTGTCATTTATTCAACATCATTGACACAACGCTTGACAGTAGCAGCCACTGGCTGCGTACCGATACTACATTACTTCCTTTTTTTATGTTTTTCTGAATTACTAAATATATAAAAATATCCGAATTAACATTTAACCAATGATATTTCAAATCTAAATCAAAGAGATCAATTCAGCTATACGAAATTCCAAATGCAAAATATCAAATATGCAACGCTTAGTTTTTCTTCTTAAAGTCATAATCGTTGTAACGTTTCGGCGGCAGTCTCTTTCGCTTGGGCAACGGCTCTTCTTCCTCTTCTTTTTCGTTGAATTTCCGTTTCACAGCCAAACCGTCGTTCAATTGTTTCGGGTCGTTGTCAATGAATGTTGCAAGTTTTACATGAGCGACATTTCTACGGTATTGTGTGAGCGTCTCAGGATTTTGAATCAACACCTCCGAGCCATCCCGTTTGATTACTTTGAAAACTGTTGGATCGAAGTCAGTAGCCAATTTGTTGGTTTTTATTTGACGTTTAGTTACGACGAAATCGCCCACTTCAATTTGGCTTGGTCTTGCGTGTCGCTTCAAATCAGCATACACTTTGGTCTTGGCTTTGTTAACACTATCACGATCTCGAGTTTCTTCATCGCCAAAGTCCATACCTTGATTCATCGACGGTAACTTGTCTCGAATGTTTCGGTTAAACAACATTTCCGATGGAGTTTTTCCCGTTGTTGAGTGCGGTGTCGACCGATACATGAGAAGAAAGTCTTGAAGATCTTCACGCCAATCTCGCTTTGCGTCTTGGCTGATTTTCAATCGCTTGAGCAACGAACGATTTTGTCTTTCCACTTCACCGTTTTCTTGAGGCCAGTAAGGAGTTGTATTGATGAGTCGAATATTGTTTGTTTCGCAAAACTGTTTGAATTCTTCGCTTGGAAATTCCGGCCCGTTATCAGCTTTGATTGAAAGAGAAATTCCAAACCGTGCAAAGATCACCTTCAACGCTTTGATTGTTTCGGTTGCATCAATCTTTTTCATAACCTCGACTTCGAAGAAACGACTGTAATAATCGACCACCACGAACAAATAGTGGCCAGATGGTAATGGTCCCAGAAAGTCGATAGCGATGTGCTGCCATGGTTCAGAAGGCAGTTTCGTTGATTTTAACGGTTCTGGAACCGATGCTGCACTGACTAATGTGCATCCTTTGCACTTTTTCACGTAATCTTCGACCTGTTTATCCAATCCAGGCCACCAAACTTTTGATCTCAATCGCCTCTTCATGACTGAAATACCAGGATGACCTTCGTGTGCTAGTTCCAATGCTCTGTTCCAAAGACAAGCCGGCAAAACAATTCGGTTTCCGCGTAAGAGTATGTCATCCTCGAAACAAAGCTCAGTTTCGAAATGTTTGAATGGTGAGGCCGATTCATTCCAAACGTTTTCATAGATCGCACTTTTGACGCTTTGAATCATCACGTCTTTCGTCGACTCGCTCAATATTTCTTGTAACTTGATCGCTTTAGGCTCTGCGTACGATAGTATCCATGCAACATATTCGTTTGACTTTGTACTTACAGCTGGCTGTGGCGAAGTTTCTTGAATTAATCGTGATAATGGGTCAGCGATGTTAGTTTTGCCAGGTTTGTACACAACTTTGTACTTGTATGATTGTAATCGCAGCACCCATCGTTCAATACGTGCACATGGCTTTGATCTTGGTCCAAAAATGACTTCCAATGGCTTGTGATCGGTGATTAGCTCAAACTCTCTTCCGAACAGGTAAAAATGAAACCTTTCAACCGCCCAAATTAAAGCAAGCGCTTCCTTCTCGGTTTGTGCATATCGCTTCTCAACATCAGTCAAACTACGGTTCGCATAACAAATGATTCGAGGCACACCCCTTTCGTTAAATTGAATCAAAACTGCACCTAGTCCAACTGGACTGGCATCGGCAATAACTTGTGTCCGGTCGTTGACATTGTAATAGCCGAGTGTCGACTCCTCTGAAATACATTGCTTCAAAATTTCAAATGCTTCTTGTTGTTCGGCATTCCATTCAAAAACGGCATCATTCTTTATCAACATTCGAAGTGGCTCAGACACGGTGGCCAAGTTTGGTATGAATTTTCCTAAATAGTTCACCAATCCAAGGTAGCTTCTTGTTTCTTCAGTTGAGTGTGGCTCACGAAATTGTTTGATGGCCAAAATCTTGTCGTGAGTCGGTTTTATTCCATCCGGAGATAAACGGTGACCCAAAAATATAATCTCACTAACTCCGAAAACACATTTTTCCTTGTTCAGTGTCACATTGTATTCATTCAAACGCTCAAGTACCTTTTGCAATCGGCTGTCATGCAATTCCTTTGTCGGGGCGAAAACAATCACATCGTCCATGTAGTTTAAGCAACCATCACAACCTTGTAATATTTGCTCCATAATTTTCTGAAAGATTTCCGGTGCACATGTAATACCGAACATTAATCTTTTGTACCGAAATAAGCCCTTCTTTGTAATAAAAGCCGTAATGTCTCGAGATGATGGCGCTATTTCCACTTGATGGTACGCTTGCTTGACATCAAGCTTCGAAAAATACTTGGCCGTACGTATTTCAGGCAAGAAATCTTCCATAGTAGGGAGCGGATGATTTTCACGTTCCACCGCTTCGTTTGCTCGTCGCATATCAATGCACACCCGGACGTCGTTTTGCTTTGGAACGATAACCAACGGTGTGATCCATTTAGCTGACTTGACCTTTTCGATGATTCCTTTTCGTAACAACTCATCAATTTTATCATCAACAACCTTTTCCAAAGGTGCTGGAACTCGACGATATGGTTGCTGTACTGGTTTTACATCAGGTTTGATTGGAATCTCCACTTCGACACCTTTGATTTTGCCAAATTCTTCGTGCTCGATATTGTTTATTTCGTATCCAATCTTCAGAATGCCAAGCTCAAAACCACTCTCCCATCCAATCAGGAATTTTCCAAATTCATCTGCAACGTAAAAATTAGCATCGATTTGCTTTTTACCAATTTGGAGTTGGGCACGGAACATTCCCACAAAATTCAATCGATGGCCTCCATAGGACTTGAATCCTATATCAACTTCCTTCTTTCGCACAATGGTTCTGATATTACTCGCCTTCAGCTCCTGCCATGTCTCTCGATCGACAACATTGTATCGAGTGCCCGAATCAATTACCACTTCTTTGTCGACACCACCAACGTTGCACCACAATTTATTCTCATTGCCTTCCGTATTGATATCACAGAACACATCGTCGTAGTCGTCATCATCGTCTTTGATCAAATTTACATTTTCACTCTCCCGCTTCAATCGCTTGCTGTCTGTTTGGCTTCGACTATCATTGAATTTCCTCTTCTGAGTCATTTGGGTGCGGCATCGCCGCTGGAAATGATCCTTTTTCCCACAGCCGTGGCAAACCTTCCCACGAGCTGGACATTTTTCGTCGTTGGCATTATGACCCTTACGTCCACATCGACCACATTCGATCACTATGTCATTGAAAGTTCGTTTGAATCGGCGTTGGTTTCCAAACTTGGTGTCAATGTTGCACACGTCCACTGTGTTTTGCATAATCGATGACTTTTCTTCTGAATGAGATTTTTTTGCCAATAGTTTCTGTTGCTCAGTGACATTCTCAAAAATTCTGGCCATTTTAACGATTTCATCCAATTTCTTGTCACCTTTTTCCAAAATCTTACGACGGAGAACTTCCGATTGACAACCACTGGTTATTTGGTCTTTGATATTTTGGTCGATTTGTTCATCAAAATCACATCGGTCCGCTTGTATTCGTAAACGTATTACAAATACATCGATACGTTCATTTGCTTCTTGGCTCATGTTCCGAAAAATGTGTCGTTCATAGCTCACGTTTCGTTTTGGCTAAAAAAAGTCATTCAATTTCTTCACGGCTGTTGCATACGGATTTGACTTGAACTGTCCGTAACCTGTGGCTAATGGTCCCTTCGGTACTTGTTCAACTTCACATTCATTTGGCAGATTGAAATATACGTTTTGAACCTTTGGACCCGCAAAATGTAATAGCCAGTCTTTTTTCTTCTCATCGTCATCAACGCTTTGAGCTGTGGCGAACAATTCAAACTGTCTCATCCAAATTTTCCATCCCGTACCACAGTTGCTGTCGTCAATATTGAATTCAAACGGCGTTAATCCAAACGCAAACGGTAATTTTCCTTAAAAGAAAAATATAAATACAATTTCTTTTAGTATATTCTATTTGGTTTTAAAGAACGAAATTCTTTTTTATATCACAACTCCGACTAAACGGTATCACGTCAGCAACGCGGACATAAACACACAAGCATTGACTCTCTTCGTGTGTTTGCGTGTGGCAACACAATCGTGTGTTGTGCTTTGCTTCACTGTTGCCGCCATTCCGTTAATGCAAAATCAACTCATGCTTGACATTTCTCGAAACTCTCGAAATTTCTGTCTTTCAATATCGAATGTATCGAACACTCAATTCACGATAGATGCGATCCGAAATTTAATTCTACGCATAATAACTTCATGACTATTTTTTTTTCAGCATTCAATCAGAATGCTTTTTCTCTCTTTTCCTTTCTTTATTTGCGCTCCGAATTCATTTCAAATGCACGACTTTTTCCTGTTTGGGCTACGAATACATTCTAACCTCTTTTTTTTTCACTGCGCTCCGAATATCTTCTAACGCATGAATCATCATTTTTTTTCGTTTGTTCGGGCTCCGAATATCTTCCAACCCCTTTTTTTTCTTTTTTTTTTAACTTGCGCTCCGAATACACTAATTCGCTTCTCTCTTTTTATACCTGTTTTCCAAAATTCCGTTCTCTATATTCCATGTGTATTTCATGCAACGAAATTGAATTTCACAACATTGCCAAATGTTGCAACACAATCGTTCGTCATGACTTCGCCGGCAAAAACAATTTTATTTTACCGAATTTCAATCGAAATACATACCCGTACTGTCATCCATCACAATTTTATTGTGATTCAATAATAATTTTCTATTTAATTCTCTTATTTCTCCGGTTTCGCTTTCACAGTGTTCGTCTGCTTTGTCGCCAATGTAATATCGTTCAATAAAACACGACCGCTCAGTTTGGTATCTCTATATGAACTGTCATTTATTCAACATCATTGACACAACGCTTGACAGTAGCAGCCACTGGCTGCGTACCGATGCTACACTGTCCAACCTATTGGCCACTTGTGGCCAACCGAAAAATTCAAGTGGCCAACAGAAGATTTTGATACCTTTTTATTACAATTCTGGTTTTTTTCAGTAAATGATTTGAAATATTGAAGCGATTTTCAGATTTCAAAAAGTTTCAATTGGCATTCAAATTTATGAAAAATCCATTCATTTTTCATCAGAATAATATTCAAAATTTATCAGATCTTTTCGATACGAAAAAAACTCATTTGGAATTTGATATTTCGTTGATGAATGAAGAAAGTAGTTTGCCAAATGAAACAAGTGATGCATTATGGAAACGTTTGCTATCTGAATGCAATTTCTTAGTACTTAAAGACGTTGTGCCAAAATTTCTTTGCATGTTCGGGTCCACACACGTTTGTGAGGCTTCATTCTCCAGTCTCATACGTCGTAAGAATAAATATCGTAATGCACTCTCGCAAGGAAATTTGGAATCTGAACTTCTTTGTGAACTAACCCAATCGATGCCTGACTTGAATAAATATTTACTGTATTTTCTCTTGAAAAAAAACGTGGCCAATTGCTCGATCTCTTGGCCACTTTTGTGGCCAACGTATAGAATAGGTTGGACAGCACTGGTCTATGCAGTCCACTCGATATTTAACGTGAAATCCTAATATTCGGTAAGCCGAAGTATGATTTTGTTTGCGACGCCGCGCGTAAGCAATTCACGTTCGATATAACGTCGTACTTCATCGTAGTAGCCATAGGTCATTCACGTTAAATATCGAGTGGACTGCATAGACGATGTTTCGGCAACTAACGAATCGCTAAATAGAGTGAAATGCTACATCTACGCGTGTGACGACAAGTCCGCTACTCCATTGAACAGTTAAAAGCAACCAGCAGAATGACGTCTTTTTGACCACATGACCAAAATTTGTTTATTATTACCGAGTCGGAGCTAGCTCGACGTCGCTTTGGTATCTCGTATCGAATTGGTTGTTCATCGGAATTGCTACCATTGATCAACGATAAGGGAAATTGGGCCAGCCACTGGGAAATACGTCCCTGGGACAAAACCTACGGTGAAGGTGAACGCAACGGTCAACGTACTGAAGGCGAAAATTTTCACGGGACAGCCAGTGCTCAGGGGAAGACCAACTAAGATCAAATGATCACCGATACAACAACAACTTCGCCACAAACACAAACATAAGTAATATAGATTTAGAAATGTTAGTTTGTATGAGTCAACTCGAAACTCTTGAATTAAACGACGAAAATGTCGATAAATTTTTTGATAAAATTAATAATTTGTTGGTTCAAATGAAAGAGATAAATATTGATAGTGAGATTTTAGTACAAAACCCACTGGAAAACAAGAAAAAATTTAAAGTAGACATTCAATGGGAATTATTAACTCTTTTTATATACTTGCAAAACGTAAGAAATTTAAAAAATAAGAACCATGACATCAAACCAAAAACATTTGACACATTATATGATGTTATTGCATTGACCGAAACATTTTTTGATGAAGGCAATTTAGATGAAGAATATTTCTGTGATAAATTTTCGGTATTTCGATGTGATCGCTCATTAGCAAACAATGAAAAAAGAACTGGCGGTGGTACGCTTCTAGCGATAAAGAAAAGTGATAACTATTCAATTGATAAAATTAATTTAGATGAATTTTGTGATATAGAAATTGTTGGTGCAAAACTTGTCCTTAGTAATAAAAAATCAGTATTTGTTTTTTGTGTATATATTCCACCTAGCCGATCGAATAGTAGATTGGCATTTGATAGAGTAGTGATGGCTGTTAAATCAGCAGGAATAACGGATAATGACATTTTAATATTGTTAGGAGATTTCAATATGCCAAATGTTAAATATAGTTTTAATGAAAATAACCAGTTAGTCCCACACAATTTTAAGCCAAATTTTACTGCAGAAATTTTTAGTGATTTGAACTCTATGGGACTCAGACAACTGAACCATATAAAAAACCACAGTAACAATGTCCTAGACTTGATATTTTTAAATGATGAATTGAAATATGATTTGCATGAATGCCCAAATTCACTTGTTAAAATAGATAAGCCTCATCCACCAATTGAATTTCAAATTCACCAAATAATACCGAAAAGAAAAATTGTTAAATCTAATGACAGGGAGAAAGAAATATTTGATTTCAAGAGGACTGATTTTAAAGCATTGAATAATTATTTCCATGATATAAATTTAAGTGAAATTATTGAAAATATGGAAGTAGATAGATCTTTTGAGTGTTTCTACGACACGATTAAATTTGCATTTGAAAAGTTTGTGCCTAAATTGAAGATTCGTCAAAAGAATACAAGACCATGGTACAATTCTGAATTAAGAAAGCTTAGGAATTTAAGAAACAATGAATACAGAAAAAAAATAGACGGCCTACCGAATAGATTTAATACTGCAAAAAAATCATTTGACGAACTAAACAAAACATTATATGATCAATACAACGAAATTCTGTCACGCAATATAAAAAGAGACCCGAAAAAATTCTGGTCCTATGTTAGGGGACAAAAAAAATCAAAAGGATTTGAATCGAAAATGAAATACAAAGGCAAAGAGGTCCATGGTGAATCTGAGATTGCTAGTCTTTTTGCAGAGTTTTTCTCCTCTGTTTTTTGTGATAATAAAAATATGACTGAAATCGAAAATACATTGAACAAACTTGACAAACACCAAAAGATTAAAATAACAGACAGAGAAGTAAGACAGGCTATGCATATATTTCCAACGAACAAGGGTGTCGGTGTTAATAATGGTGATAATTTTCCGCCAATAATAATTAGGGAATGCATGTCCACTTTGGCTAGACCAATCGCAACATTATTTAATAAATCATTGTCAAATGGGGTGTTACCAAACTCGTTGAAATCCACGCATGTAATTCCTATTTTCAAAAAGGGAGACAAAAAGGATGTTGAAAATTATCGCAGTGTAGCAATTATGCCCACATTATTGAAATTGTTTGAAAAAATTATGTATGACAAAATAATGTCTCATTTCATAACGTTGATAAACGAGAGTCAGCATGGGTTTGTACCGGGCAAATCTATAAACACGAATCTAATGGAATTAGTAGTTTTTGCCAATGATGCATTCGCCGACAAATGTCAAATTGATGTACTATATACGGATTTTTCTAAAGCATTTGACAAAGTGGATCATGCAATTTTGATTAGGAAAATGAAAGAAATGGGATTTGACTCGGGACTGATAAGATGGATTGCGACTTATTTGGATGAAAGGTCGATGAAAGTTAAAATAAATGATGAATTCTCAAAACCATATGCAATGAATACGGGTGTCCCAGCTGGCAGTGTGCTTGGACCGGTTTTATTTTTAATTTACATCAATGATTTGCCATCTATATTTGATAGTTATTGTAAAGTCCTACTTTTTGCGGACGATTGTAAACTAATAATGAAGATAAAAAATGAAGAAGATGCTGAAAGATTTCAGTTGGAAATAAATAAACTTAGCAATTGGTGCAAGGTTAACAAACTTGCTTTGAATGTATCGAAATGTGCCGTACTAACGATAAGCAAATCAGCGAACAAAATTGTCAAGACATACAAATTGAATGATGTTGATTTAAATAGAACGAATGAGTTTCGTGACT